CACATTCTAGAATGCTCTGTCTCAAGTGATCCTCCTGCCTCAGTCTCCTGAGTAACTTTGGTGGGTTTTTTAATTTATTATTATTATTATTATTTTTTACTTTTTTGAGACAGAGTCTCATCTGTCGCCCAGGCTGGAGTGCAGTGGCACCATCTTGGCTCACTGCAACCTCTGCCTCCTGGGTTCAAGCGATTCTTGTGTCTCAGCCTCTCGAATAGCTGGGGTTACAGGCATGCCCTACCATGACCAGCTAATTTTTGTATTTCTAGTAGAGACAGGGTTTTGCCATGTTGGCCAGGCTGATCTCAAACTCCTGGCCTCATGTGATCCATTCACCTTAGCTTCCCAAAGTGCTGGGATTACAGGTGTGAACCACTGCACCTGGCCTATTTATTTATTTTTAATTAGAGACAAGGTCTCACTATGTTTCCCAGACTGGACTCAAGCTCCTGGGTTCAAGGCATTCTCTCACCTCAGGCTCCCAAGTTGCTGGCACTATAGGTATGTGCCACTGCACCTGGCCTAATTCACTTTTTAAGTAGAATAAAACCTCCAGTCTTTAACAAGCTATGGAAGATGTAGTTATCTGTCTGTGTAAGTTATGGAAGGGACCTAGTTCTTTCTTTTTTTGAGACGGAGTCTCACTTAGTTGCCCAGGCTGTGCAATCTGGGCTCACTGCAACCTCTGCCTCCTGTGTTCAAGCAATTCTCCTGCCTCAGCCTCCTGAGTAGCTGGCGCTACAGGCACATGCCACCACACCCAGCTAATTTTTTATTTTTAGTAGAGACAGTGTTTCACCATGTTGGCCAGGCTGGTCTTGAACTCCTGACCTCAAGTGATCCGCCCACCTCGACCTCCCAAAGTGCTGGGATTACAGGCATGAGCCACTGTGGCTGGCCAGACCTGGTTCTTATGCAGACTTTCAACCCATTCCCTTGTTCTTAGCCCATACCTCACTCCCACCTTCTGGAATAACTGGTGCCTCCAATATCTAATCATTCCCTTGTCCTACGTCTCCAACTGACTGACTGCTCTTTGGCATCTTTTGCTATAGCACTTGGTATGCAGCTATCTCAGCTCTGCCAACCCATCCATCCACTTGCCATCTTCCAAAAGTGAGTTGACATCTGTGGTCCACCATTGGCTTCTTTATATCTTCTTTCTATTTTTGTGAGGTTTGTTGAGGGAGCAGATATAATGCATTTATTCCATCTGCCACATTTAACCAGAAATTTAAAAACTGCACTCTTAATTACTATGCTGAATTGCCTCTCAAATGAGGCAGTACCTCTGGAATCCCATAGTCCCATAGCCCAATGAGGAGGAAATGAGATTACACATGTGAACATACTTTGTAAGCTCTGAAGAGCTGGTGCAATGAGTAAGAGGGTCTACGTTGAATTCCCCTGCCAAAGTGCCCTCCTTTTTACTCTCTGTTCTCTGATTCCTCCCATCTCTAAAGCACAGATCAAACTTACCTCTTCCTGAGGCCTTCCCTGATCAACCCAGCTACCAGGGATGTCCCTGAGCTCTGAACCATCATGAGATTCTCTTTCACCTCCCTTGGACCTAAGTAGCGCTGCTTTGTTCTATTGTAAGCACATAGTTACTAAGATGCATCAACAAATGTAGTTCTGCTGGTGTACAAAAAGAGCTTTCCTCCTTCCTACAGACAGGGGACATGGGCTTGACTAAACAAAGGTGCAGTTTGGGAGAGGGGGAAGAAGGGTTTTCTTCCTTTGGAGGTGAGTTTAGAAGATAAAGTGGCTTTTGTTGCCCTGCAGTCTGAGCTGTGGCTGTGGCTCTCAGAGCTCACTTTCTTCCTCTTGCTTCCTCTGCCCTCCCCAGAACTCTCCTCTGGGCAGTGGAGCCCATGGCAGTGGCTGCACCAAGTCCATGCCACTGGTCAGAGGCTGTGTGCCCTTTCACTCCCTCACTCTTACCAGAACTTTGATGTGGCATCTGAGGGACTCAACTCATCTGTGGAGTGCTTGAGCCAGAATTGCAGTGGAAGATGGACTGGTCTCTGCCTAGAAGTGGTTGATCTTCATCTCTAAAAGTTCCTGATCATTTTTCAAGAGACAAATTTCACCTGACAGGCTTTATAGAACATTCCACTAGAGTGAAATGTGCCATCTCTTGTCCCTTCCCTGACATGATTATGAAGGAAACTGGGCATTTCCCGGGGACTGAGGCTGCGGGAGGCTCCCGGAAGGTCAGTGCTGGTGTGCTGGAGCATCTCTGTAACACACAGGTGCATAGACACAATCGTGCTCCCAGACTGTGGGGCACAACTCTTTACGCCGCAGCAGTAGCACGCCCCTGCCCCATGTGTATGCACCGGAGCAGAAATCCATTTCCTCTGGATTCTTCTCTGTCCTTCCCAGAACCTTCATCTTTAGAGAGCCTTGAAGGTGAGGCCAATTTGGTTGGAAACAGCCAGTTGGGGCAGTGAGGTGGAAGAATGGCCAAAGAGAAACACAGACAATGAGGAGGTCATGTCGCTCTGATTGCCCCACCCCCGCCGCAGATTGTCCCAGAGGTTAGGATTCCTCTCCCCTCCCCCTTCTCTTTGTGTATGGAGCTGTGTTGTCAAATACAGGAGCCGCTAGCCATGCATGGCTATTGAGCACTTGAAATATAGCCAGTCTGTGTTGAGATGGGCTGAAAGTATAAAATACATATGGGAATTTAAAGACTTAGGAAAAAAGAATGTAAAATAGCTCATGAAAAAAGTGTTTTCATATTAACCATAATGACAAAATACTTGCATTTTGGAAATACTGGGTTAAATAAAATATATAATTAAAAAGAATTTCATCTGTTTATTTATTTATTTATTTATTTATTTATTTTTTGAGACGGAGTTTCACTCTTGTTACCCAGGCTGGAGTACAATGGCACGATCTCGGCTCACCACAACCTCCGCCTCCTGGGTTCAGGCAATTCTCCTGCCTCAACCTCCCGAATAGCTGGGATTACAGGCATGCGCCACCATGCCCAGCTAATGTTTTGTATTTTTAGTAGAGATGGGGTTTCACCATGTTGACCAGGATGGTCTCGATCTCTTGACCTCGTGATCCACCGGCCTCGGCCTCCCAAAGTGCTGGGATTACAGACTTGAGCCACCTTGCCTGGCTCATCTGTTTCTCTTTATTTAATTACACTGTGGCTCACATTATATTTCTATTGGTCAGCACTGGTCTAGGGCCTGCTGTGATACAGACTGCTTGCTTGGCTGGGCCCTGGTCCCCTATTTGGATCTTGTCATTTCTTTCCACAGAAATGAGAGTCTTGTCTTTCTTAGAGTCCCTTGTTAAATGAGATAAGAAATGAAATAGCTGGGCGCGGTAGCTCACGCCTGTAATCTCAGCACTTTGGGAGGCTGAGGCGGGTGGATCATGAGGTCAGGAGATCGAGGCCATCCTGGCCAACATGGTGAAACCCCATCTCTACTAAAATACAAAAAAAAAATTAGCCAGGCGTGGTGGCATATGCCTCCAGTCCCAGGTACTCGGAAGGCTGTGGCAGGGGAATTGCTTGAACCAGGGAAGTGGTGCTTGCAGTGAGCCAAGATTGTGCCACTGCACTCCAGCCTGGCAACAGAGCAAGACTCTGTCTAAAAAAAAAAAGAAAGAAAGAAAAAAGAAAACAGATATGAAATAATGCTGTATCCACCTGACGGGGACATCACCTCCTGCCTGGGTGGTAGGAGGACTTCTATCCATCTCACTGTAACTTCTGATTTGGGGGCCAGAGGTACAGAGCCCTCCTTCTCCCCCACCAACCCCAGTATCCATTTGGATTGACGTACCAGCTTGTGCTGGGCCTCTAGTCTAGACACAGGCCCAAAACTCTCCAGGAAGCCCCTCATAGGCTGTGCCTGCCCTGTCTGGTAGGGTAAAGTCAGGTGGCCCCAAACGCTATGTCTTATTCTTCTCTTATTTTTCCTCCTTCCCTCTTAGCTGTCCTCTCCTCCCCCTACCCTTCTCTTCTTTTTTAAAAGTCTAATTCTGAGCAGCCGGCGCCGTTCAACCTGACTGGTTTGTTATGGCTTATAATCTGTGCCAGGATTAATTAGCTAATTACTGACAAACGTCCGCTGGCAAGATTCTGCTCCAGCTTGTCAGCTTGAAGTGTTTAATTATTTTAATCATTTACTTTCATCTTCAAAATTTATGCTGCCAAGAGAGTTGCAGGGCATCTTTTAATTATGATTTGGGGTTTCTGCTGGGCTGTGTTCTGTTCCTGAGGACAGGGGACATTATTTATTTTTTTACCAGTCTTCCACCAAAGCCTGAACACCCTTCTACTCCCAAGGCCTCCACATTCTATGGATGGGAGATGGAGAAGAATCCCAGGTCATCTATGGACACCTCTCCTGTAGCCCCAGAACATGATGTGCACAGGCACATAAAGGAAATCGAAATTTTGTGAGTACTGTTATGTGCTGAACATCATGCTCGTCATTTTTCTATTTTATTTCATGTTTGTGAGCACAGAATATGGAAACAGCCTGAGAACTGGTTGGAGTGGCCTGGGGTGATCAGCAGGGAGAAAAAAGTAAGAAAGGCATTCTTTTATTGATTGATCGATTGATTGATTTTTGTGGTGCAATTTAATTATAGTAAACTGAAATCGTCCTAAATTTCAGTCTCTGCAAATTGTCACATAGACATCCACCATCATCTGGTCAATGACCCCTAGAGGTTCTGTAATGCCCACTCCCAGCCTATACTTCCCAACAGTAACCACTTCTGACTTCTTTCACCATAGATTTGTTTTTCTAGTCTTCACTCTCATGTAAATAAGAATCTGTGATATGTTTTCTTTTATGTGAAACTGCTTTCCCTCAACATTTTGGCTGTGAGAGGAAGGGGTCTTTAACATAAATCATGTTCTCTGGCCAGGGTTTTGCTTTGGGTCCAGCTCGGAGCTTCAACCAATGTTCTTTTTTTTTTTTTTTTTTTTTTTTTTTTTTTTTTTTTTTTTTTTTTTTCAGAGCTAGCTGAGGTTTTATTTCGGGCCAAAAAAAAAAAAAGGCAATTGAATTGTTATGCAGCTGGAGGCAGGGGCAAGGGGTTCCCCAGGCAGTAAACTCCCCGCGGGTAGGCTGAGGGCTAGGGCTGAGCCTCAGGTGGGTCTCCTGTTCCCTGTGCTCCCCTGCACAGCGACCTCCCTCCCGGGCTCTGGGGCAGCCTCAGGTGGGGCAGGCTGGGAGGGGCTGCCGCAGCTGTTCACTTGGGCAGGACGTCAGAGGACTCAGATACCAGCCTCCCATCGGGGGTCTCAATCTTCTTCACAACCACAGCCTTGGTGGTGCTGGTGCAGCTGAAGGAGCTGGAGCTCATACAAGAGCCAAAGCTGGAGCCAGGCCATAGCTGAGGCCGGGGCTTGTGAGGCCCCTATAGGCAGAGCTCAGACTACCTGCATAGCCGCTGGTGGTCTACGTGTGGATACTCATGTTCTGCATCCCAGACTCCAGCCGGCTCTCCTCGCCTTCCAGCAGCTTGCGGTAGGTGGCGATCTCGATGTCCAGGGCCAGCTTGACATTCATCAGCTCCTGGTACTCACGCAGCTGCCGCGCCATGTCCTGCTTGGCCCGTTGCGGGGCTGCCTGAGGAAGTTGATCCTGTCAGTCAGTCCTTCCAGGCAAGACTTCAGCTCTACTTTGTTCAGGTAAGCTTCATCCACATCCTTCTTGATGAGGACAAATTCATTCTCCATCTCTGTACGCTTATTGATCTCTTCCTCATACTTGTTCTGGAAGTCCTCCACCAGCCCCTGCATGTTGCCAAGCTCCGCCTCCAGCTTCAGCTTCTCCTGGCCCAGAGTCTCCGGCTGCCGCCTCAAGTTATTGATGTAGCTCTCAAACATGTTGTCCATGTTGCTCCGAGCAGTCTTCTGCGGCTGTAGGAGGCTCCACTTGGTCTCCAGCATCTTGTTCTGCTGCTCCAAGAACCCACCTTGTTGATGAAGGAGGCAAACTTCTTGTTGAGGGTCTAGATCTGCTCCTTCTCCTGGGTACGCAGGGCCTGGATGTTGGGGCTCACTTCCAGGTTAAGGGGACTCAGCAGGCTCTGGTTGACCCTGCCGGTGGTGATGCCTCCCATACCCATGCCCATGTCCATGCTGCTGGCCCCAGCATAGCCTGCACCCAGGCTGCCCCAGAAGCTGCTGCTGCCCACTCGGGAGAAGCTCGAGGAGCTGATGTGGGCACAGGGCCCACTCGTGCAAGATCGGCTGCTGAAGGCCTGGGAGCCAGAGGTGGACACCTTGTAGGACTTCTGGGTCACCCTAATGGATGTGGTGGAGGCAGGAGCGGAGGCAGGCAGGCTGAACCAGGAGGAGATTCCAGAAGGAGCAGAAGCTGCTTCTTCTCAACCCATGTTCTTAAAAAGAATGCTATGGTTTCCTCCTATAAGCATTATTTTGAAAGTGAATTTGGAGGCTCATCCCTGTAATCCCAACACTTTGGGAGGCCAAAGCGGGCAGATTGCTTGAGCCCAGGAGTTCGAGACCAGCCTGGGCAACATGCCAAAACCCCACCTCTACAAAAATACAGAAACATTGGCCAGACATGGTGGTGCACACCTGTGGTCCCAGCTACTACGGAGGCCGAGGCTGAAGGATCACTTGAGCCTGAGAGGTTGAGACTGCAGTGAGCTGTGATTGCACCACTGCACTCCGGCCTGAGAGGCGGGGTGAGACCCTGTCTTAAAAAAAACAGAGAGTTTGGATATGATTTTTCTCCTTCATTCTCTCTCCTCCTCTAGTTTCTCCTTTTCCCTCTCTTCCTCCTCCTCTCCTTCCTCTTCCCCCTGGCCATAGTCATGACTTTCACTACATCTTATTAGGAAGTTCTTTCTGAGCTCTAATTTATGCCATTCTGGATACAAAGGCTTATGAGTTTCCTAAAGACATGGTATTGAGAGGAAGGTTTTGAAGAACAAAAGATTCCCCTATTATGGGTTAAATTGTGTCCCCTAAAAAAGATATGCTGGATTCCAAGTCCCCACTAGCTCAAAATGTAGCCTCAACAGGAAATGGGGTCTTTACAGATGCCGTCAAGTTAAAATAAGTCATTAGGGTGAGCCCTAATCCAAGAAGATTGGTGAAGGGGAAATTTGTTTTTCTTTTTGAGACGGAGTTTCGCTCTTGTTACCCAGGCTGGAGTGCAATGGCGCTATCTCGGCTCACCGCAACCTCCGCCTCCTAGGTTCAGGCAATTCTCCTGCCTCAGCCTCCTGAGTAGCTGGGATTACAGGCACGCGCCACCATGCCCAGCTAATTTTTTTTGTAGTTTTTAGTAGAGACGGGGTTTCACCATGTTGACCAGGATGGTCTTGATCTCTTGACCTCATGATCCACCCGCCTCAGCCTCCCAAAGTGCTGGGATTACAGGCGTGAGCCACTGCGCCCGGCCTGAAAAGGGGAAATTTGGACACACACACACACACAGAGAACACCATGTGAAGATAAAGGCAGAGATGGGGGCATGCATCCTCAAGCCAAGGAACCATTGTCCCTGGAGGGAACGAACCTGCCAACACCTTGATCGCAGACTTCAAGCCTCCAGAACTGTGAAACAAAACCAACCTCCCTCCCACCCTTCCTTCCTTTCTACCTGCCTCCCTCCCTTCCTTCTCCCTTCCTTTCTTCCTTCCTTCCTTCCTTCCTTTCTTCCTTCCTTCCTTTCTTCCTCCCCTCCCTCCCTCCCTCTCTTCTTCCTTCCTTCCTTCCTTCCTTCCTTCCTTCTTTCTTTCTTTCTCTCTCTCTCTTTCTTTCTTTCTTTCTTTTCTTTTTTTCTTTCTTTCTTCTTCTTATTTTGGGACAGAGTCTCACTCTGTCACCCAGGCTGGACTGCAGTGGCACTATCTCAGCTCACTGCAACCTCCACCTCCTGAGTTCAAGCAATTCTCCTGCCTCAGCCTCCGATGTAGCTGGGATTACAGGCACGCACCACCATACCCAGCTACTTTTTGTATTTTTAGTAGAGATGGGGTTTCACCACATTGGTCAGGCTGGTCCCAAACTCCTGACCTCTAGTGATCTACCCACCTGGCCTCTCAAAGTGCTGGCATTATAGGCCAGAAACACTGCACTCGGCATCTTCCTTCCTTCCTTCCTTCCTTCCTTCCTTCCTTCCTTCCTTCCTTCTTCCTTCCTTCCTTCCTTTCCTTCTTTCCTTCCTTCTCTCCCTTCCTCCCCCGCCCCCCGCGTCTCTCTGTCTCTCTTTCTCTCTTTCTGACAGAGTCTCACATTATCACCCAGGCTGGAGTGTAGTAGCATGATATCAGCTCACTACAACCTCCGCCCCCAGAGCTCAAGTGATTCTCCTGCCTCAGCCTCCTGAGTGGCTAGGACTACAGGCGTGCACCACACCTGACTAATTTTTGTATTTTAGTAGAGACAGGGTTTCACCATGTTGGTCAGAATGGCCTCAATCTCTTGACCTTGTGATCTGCTTGCCTCACCCTCCCAAGTGTTAGAATTACAGGTGTGAGCCACCACACCTGGTTCACTCTTTCTCCCTTCCCTCCTCTTCCCTCCCCTCGCCTTCTCCTTCCTTCCTTTTTTTGTTTTGACACAGTCTCACTCTGATTGCCGAGGCTGGAATGCAGTGGTGTGACTAAGGCTCACTACAGCCTCAACCTCCCTAGGCTCAGGTGATCTTTCCCCTCTCAGCCTCCCCAGTAACTGGGACCACAGGCACACACTACCATGCCCAGCTAATTTTTTTTTTTTTTTTTTTTTGTATTTTTGGTAGAGACAGAGTTTTGTCATGTTGCCTAGGCTGGTCTCCTGGAAGGAAGGAAAGAAGGAAGGAAGGAAGGAAGGAAGGAAGGAAGGAAGGAAGGAAGGAAGGAAGGAAGGAAGGAAGTCCTCACCCTGGACTCATGCAATCTACCTGCCTCAGCCTCCCAAAGTGCTGGGATTATAGGCATGAGCCACTGCACCAGCTCAAGACAATACATTTTGTAATTTCAGCACTCATGACAATACATTTTATAATTTCAGCGGTGCTCTGTTGCAACACCCCTAGGAAAATACTGCATCCCCAAAGGGAGCTCTGGTTGGGTCTTTCTGAATCTGTGTCATGAGACCGACAGCAACCTCTGCGGGATCCTCCGTGCTAACCCAGCCCCAGGCTGAGAGTGACTGAGGTGACAGCTCCAACTTGGGAGACAGAGTAAGGAGAGGAGAAAGATCAAATTAATGAGCTCAGCAATGCCATTAATGAGGCAGCAGGCAATATCCAGGGGGCTTCTTGTGATGGCCTACACCAGGGCAAGATTAGCCAAAGGATGCCGGGAGCCAGCCCATGCCAGGTTCTGATGTGATGTGATCTGTCCTCTTGATGCCTTCCTTCCACAAAGTCCAGGGTGGGCCTGGGAGTAAACACAGAGTCCTCACCCAGTGGCTGAGATGGCTTGGGAGTCCCCTCCCCTTCTCTGGACCTGGCACATGACCCTGCACATGGCATTGCAGTTTCTGCCATGCAGGTTCATACCTGAGTCTACCCTCAGTAGAATAGTCTACCTATTCCAAGCTCAGCAAAGGCACCCTATCTACATGTGTTTCCCCCCTCCTATTCCCACCCACCTTGAAAGCTCCATCTGGAACAGTTTACTTCATAGGAATGCAAGCGAGCAGCTTGCTAGCCTGTCTGGCAAATGCATAGGGAACCTTCTGCCCAAATCCTACAAAACCTTCTTTCTCTGGGTTCCTGCTGGTCCATGCTAAAAATCCCATCATCTGGCCTCCTTCTGAGGATCCTGTCCTTAAGGTCAGAGCCAGCTCTCACTCCCTTCTGCCAGGGCTCAAAGTTTCTGCCTATCAAGACCCTCCTCACCAACAGCCACAGGCTCTCCCTGTTTTGTCCATGGAGGTCCATATGGGGTCTGAGTCCCTGTCACAGTCTGTGTCTTCTTCTTTTTTTTTTTTTTTTTTTTGAGACGGAGTTTCGCTCTTGTTACCCAGGCTGGAGTGCAATGGTGCAATCTCGGCTCACCGCAACCTCCGCCTCCTGGGTTCATGCAATTCTCCTGCCTCAGCCTCCTGAGCAGCTGGGATTACAGGCACGCGCCACCATGCCCAGCTAATTTTTTGTAGCTTTAGTAGAGACGGGGTTTCACCGTGTTGACCAGGATGGTCTCGATCTCTTGACCTCGTGATCCACCCGCCTCGGCCTCCCAAAGTGCTGGGATTACAGGCTTGAGCCACCGCGCCCGGCTCAGTCTGTGTCTTCTATAGCTAGGTCTAGCTTATGATGGCTTATATGATGATGGGCATGGCCAGACCCCCTCACCACCATGCGCTGCCTGAGGATCTCAGACACAGATGAGTGGAGACCTGTGCCTGGGAAGCCTCATGATGAAGTAAGGCCTGAGGAGAGAAATAAGATGAGATCTGGGTCCTATCCCTGGGTCTATCTTTAGGGCAAGCCACTTCTCTTCTAAATCTCTTTCTTTGCCTGAAAAATGGGGACATAATCTCCACTGTGTGAAATTATACAGCCAAGTAAGTATATAAAAATGTAGACTGCATGTGGCATATACATACATAGACATAGTTTTTCAGGTTTAAAAAGGAAAGGAATTCTAATACATACTACAGCATGAACCTTGAGGACATTATGCTGAGCAAAATAGGCCAGTCACAAAGGACAAATACTGCATGATTCCACTTTTTTTTTTTTTTTTTTTGGAGACAGAGTTTTGCTCTGTTACCCAGGCTGAAGTGCAGTGGCACAATCTCTCAGCTAACTGCAATTCTTTGCCTCCCAGGTTCAAGCAATTCTCCTGCCTCAGCCTCCTGAGTAGCTGGGATTACAGGTGCCTACCACCACACTTGCCCAATTTTTGTATTTTTAGTAGACACGGGGTTTCACCATGTTGGCCAGGCTGGTCTCAAACACCTGACCTCAGGTGATCCAACTGCCTCAGCCTCCCAAAGTGCTGGGATTACAGGCATGAGCTACCATGCCCGGCCTGCATGATTCCACTTATATGAGGTACCTAGAGTAGTCAAATCCACAGAGACAGAAAGCAGCATGGTGGTTTCCAGAGCTGTGGGAGGGGCAATGCGGAGTTATTGTTAATGGATATAGAGTTTTATTTTTGCAGGATGAAAAGAGGTCTGGAAACAGATGGTGGTAGTGGGAGCACAACAATGAGAATCTCCTTACTACCACAAAACTGTACACTTAAAATGGTTAAAACGGTAAACTTCGTTATGTATATTTTACCACAATTTAAAAATAAGCAGTAAAAACAAACTACAAAGCTCTGAACAAAAGTGACACTATTAGTATTACAGCCACTTTTGCACTAGGCTCTGGGGACCTCAGCGGCCTCCTCGTCCTCCACCACAATAAACGCCCCTCCATTCTCATGTGTTATCATTTCTAAACAATTTCTCTGAAATATGCTTTTATAGTTGCTATAGGTTTGATCTGCAGCCCTCACATTCTAGTTAGAGGAACACAGGGGTTAGGGTAACAGTGAGTCTGCAGATCTGGGTTCCAAGTTGGCTCTGTTGTTTATCAGCTGCACAAGATACTTCTTCAAGCCTTTTTTTCTCATGAGGTGAGCAATTATACTGATCTCATAACACAGCTGTAATAATTAAATAAAAGAATGTGGCCGGGCATGGTGGCTCACGCCTGTAATCCAAGCACTTTGGAGGCCAAGGTGGGTGGATCACTCGAGGTCAGGAGTTCAAGACCAGCCTGACCAACATGGTGAAACCCCGTCTTAAAAAAAAAAAAAAAATGGGCTGAGTGCAGTCGTTCACACCTATAATCCTAGCACTTTGGGAGGCCAAGGTGGGCAAATCATGAGGTCAGGAGATCAAGACCATCCTGGCTAACACAGTGAAACCCCATCTCCACTAAAATACAAAAACTTAGCCGGGCGTGGTGGCATGCATCTGTAGTCCTAGCTACTCTGGAGGCTGAGGCAGGAGAACTGCTTGAACCCGAGAGGTGGAGGTTGCAGTGAGCCGAGAGCATGCCACTGCACTCCAGCCTGGGCAACGGAGCAAGACTCAGTCTCAAAAAAAAAAAAAGTGTATTGATATAGAATAAACAAGACTTGGCACCTAAGAAAATCGGGGTTTTCAGGAGGGGGAGGTTGCGGTGAGCTGAGATTGCACCATTGCACTCCAGCCTCGGCAACAAGAAGGAGACTCTGTCTCAAAAAAAAAAAAAAAAAAAAAAAGAAGAGAAAATAGGGGTTTCAGGAAGGAGAGAAGTTGAGGACGATTCCTATGTTTCTGGCTTGGGCAATGACTGGGTTGGTAATGGTACCAGGTGGGGTTAGAGAAAGAGAAGGGGAAGAAGGTTTGGGGCAAGATGATGAAACCAGTATTGGACACATTGAGTTGTGAGAAAGATGATGGGGGAGTAGTGTCCAGTAGGAGCAGGCTAAAAGTGTCCAGACTGCAGGTGAGACATCTGGGCTGGAGACAGAGGCTAGTGAGTTAGGAGAACCCGACTCAGGCCTAGTGAGACATAGATGAAAAGAGAAGAGGTTAGGAGCCCACGCCAGCATTTAAAGGGCAGGTGGGAAAAGAGGAGCACAGGACCCCGAACAAGTATCACAAGAGAGGGAGAGGAAGAGGAGGAGCAGAGAGTGCTATCACAGAAGCTAAGGAAAGGGAGGGCTCCAGGAGAGAGGCCAGGGGCCGCAGGGCCAGGTGTCTCAGACAGGTGGTAAGAACGCCCACTGGGTTTGGGATCAACATCCATGTGTACTGGCAGCTCTATCAGGAGTATGGGTTGAAGCCAGACCACAGTGTGTTGCAGAGACAATAAAAGGGAAGTATATCCACTGACTGCAACTCTTCTTCCAAGAACTGCATTAGTGAACGAAAGAAAGGGATTTGAACGATAGCTTAAGGAGAGGCAAGCCTGTTTTGTTTTGGAACGGGGAAAACCTAAACAAATTTTTAGGTTAAAGAAGGAGTCAGAACCGGGCGCGGTGGCTCAAGCCTGTAATCCCAGCACTTTGGGAGGCTGAGGCGGGTGGATCACGAGGTCAAGAGATCGAGACCATCCTGGTCAACATGGTGAAACCCCGTCTCTACTAAAAATACAAAAAAAAAAATTAGCTGGGCATAGTGGCGCGTGCCTGTAATGCTACTCAGGAAGCTGAGGCAGGAGAATTGCCTGAACCCAGGGCGCGGAGGTTGTGGTGAGCCGAGATCACGCCATTGCACTCCAGCCTGGGTAACAAGAGTGAAACTCCGTCCCAGAAAAAAAAAAAAAAAAAAAAAAAAAAAAAAGAAGGAGTCAGGGCCGGGCGCGGTGGCTCACTCCTGTAATCCCAACCCTTTGGGAGGCCGAGGCAATAGGATCACTTCAGGTCAGGAGTTCAAAACCAGCCTGGCCAACATGGTAAAACCCGGTCTCCACTAAAAATACAAAAATTAGTCAGGCATGACAGTGCATGCCCGTAATCCCAGCTACTCAGGAGGCTGAGGCAGGAGAATCACCTGAACCTGGGAGGCAGAGGTTGCAGTAAGCCGAGATGACGCCACTGCACTTCAGCCTGGGCGACAGAGCTAGAGACCATCTCAAAAAAAAAGGATTCAGTAAACTGGGAGAAGGGTGAGGATACAGATTGAAGGGGAAGAGCAAAGCGTTGACCAAGAGCTAGATATTTCCAGCCTCCCTCCCTTTGGGCATCTCCTTGCCCATTCTGTGTACGTAGTCAGAGAGCTTAGACCAATTCAGGCTCTGCCTGTGCTAAAAGGGGACCCCTTTGCCTTTTGAAATAGGCAGATGAGGGCATGTGAAGGGGTGTGCTTCAGTGTCCAGGCCTACATCGTCCACACTGAGATTGTCCACATATACCCTCATTCCCACCCCTAGACTCACATATACCTTTTCTTTTTAAAATTTTTTACTCTTTCAATAGAGACAGGGTCTCACTATATTGCTCAGGCCGGCCTTGAACTTCTGAGCTCAAGCAATCCTCCCACCTCGGCTTCCCAAATTGCTAAGATTACAGCTCCCACCTAGGTCTCCCAAAATGCTAGAATGACAGGCATGGGCCATTGAGCCCAGCCACATATGCCTTTTCTAACACACTATCTATATAGACGTCATGAAGAGATGTGGAATTTTTATAGCATATTCTCTCCTATATTATTCACAGGGTTGTGAGGACCAAATTAGAAGCGTAGCTAAATGCTTTGTAAAAATATAAATGATACAAATATTAAAAATTAATACTTCTTAATAATTCTTACTATTATTGACAAACAAGCTCCATACACACGTAAGCCCGTGAACACGTGCAGAGGCTCTCATATGTCCACCTTGCTCATACTGCTTGGCTAGGGCTTATGTGTCCACACAAGTTCATGAATTCACTAAGACACCCTCGCCCACTCCCCTACAGGTCCACACAAATCTTTACAGACTAACACACACTTACACACTGTCCACCACATTCTCAGACCCACACATGTCAAAGTTCACAAACATACTAATACTAAACATAGTTTGAAATAGGCCTGGACACTGAAGCACACCCCCTCACATGCCCTCATCTGCCTATTTCAAACTCTCACAAGCATACTCATACACTGCTATTTAGGCTCATGTGTATGTGGGTGTGCACAACACACACACACACTGCCACACTCACAGAGGTGTGTGCACCCACACACAATTAAACTGAGAATCTTCCAGCCTAAGGAGAGCTGAGTTGACTGAATATCCAAGAGCCAGGGAGAATACCTCAATTAGCAAATGATTTCACCACAGATCTGCAGCTTTGCTCCAGGACATTTGTTTCAGAAGGGAACCAATGTGTCTGGGGCCAAGGCAGAGAAACAAGGGAGCACGTTTGAAAGAACAGAACTCTCTTCTCTCC